TATTGCATATAATAAGTAGTTACAAGCATCATTGATCTCCATACCCTTTGGCAATAACCAATGTGCCAAAGGTATACACCCACTGCCAAGTCCATGTATTAAACCAAACCAGCCAACCATACACCATTTGTCCATGGTTGTTCAAAGGAGATGATTCTTCACAAGCTGACTTTGAATCACCACCTTCACCATTTTTCCCCTTCTGACCCTTACCATCACTTTGGACTTGGACATGCGTGCCCTTGTCAGACACTATTACTTTGGGACCCGTGGCCATAGAGTTGTCCACCTCAATAGTAGCATGACCATCATTATTTTGTTGTGATGGCCCCACTATCTCACCAGATACTACTGGGTATTGCCCCTTTCGTGCTTTAGCATTCTTACGTAGGAATCTCCTCCTTTGAGTCCTTGTCATCCCTCCAATAGCTACTGGTTGACTATGCATATCATAAGTATGCCCCCCTCCTTGTGTCACATTGGGCATCTTAGAAGTCCTTCTCATGGGAAGAGGGCCATGTGCCACCCATTGCCTTTTTTGCCCCCATGTCGGTTGAATGACCCTCTCTACTTGTCTTTGATAGGATGGGTATCTCAGCCTATGGGGTGGGCCAATTCTTTGTTGGACTGGTCGATTCGGTTTCACTTCATCAAGTCTAAGATTCCTTTTGCATTGGGAACATAGCTTCTCCACCTCACTAGACACCTTAGACGCGGCCGAGTTGACCTGCTTGCCCCTCGATGACTTTCCCTGCTCAACCACTACCTTGGGGATCCCTTGTTTCGGTGTTGTATCTAACACCAGTTTGAAACGAGGAAGCTCAATCTTGGAGAAGTCTGGATTAACCATGTTAACACCAAGCACGTTGGGAAACGGGTTGGTATCCACCATCATGGCATCTTTCTTTGGCTCGGGGAGCTTGATGCGACCCTTCTCAATAGCATCCTGCAATATATTGCGAAAAACCATACATGAGTTTGTGGAGTGTAGCATGTTGTTATGCCACTTACAATATGTTTTCCCTCTTAACTTCTCAGGGGGTGGAATGTTATGCCCCCCTGTCAACTTGATTTGACCATCTTTGTAGAGTTGGTCAAAAATCAAGTCAGTTTTGGAGATATCGAAGGAATACCTCCGTGGCTGGATAGGGGCACGATTTGGTCCACCCCTTTGTGGTTCATTGTCCATCTTAGCCAAAGGAGCACATACATATGGCTTCCCTGGAGTTAACTCAGCCAGGTCTACCTCCACCTCATTGGCCTCTTGGCCAATATGGTTAACAGGGTAGCCGATGTTAGGGAAGTATTGCCCCTTTGAGGCACTCCTCCTATTCTCCTCTTCTTGAAGAAGAGATTCATATCTCACCGCATAAGACATGAGTTGGAACAAGTCAGAGAATTCTCTATCTTGGAATTTCTTCCTTAACTCAAAACTCAACCCCCCTTGTGCTAACTTGACAAACTCTCTCTCTGTCAAGTTGACAAAACAACGGTTACGAACATTCTTGAAGTTTGTCAAGAAGTGCTCCACTGACTCCCCTGGCTCTTGGCGCATTCGTGCCAAATCGGCCATGGAAACCTCACGCTCAGATCTATAGAACTGAGCATGGAAGATTTGCTCCATTTGCTGCCATGTTTGGATGGAGTTGGATGGCAAATTGACATACCAGGCAAAAGCAGGTCCTGTCAATGAGTTTCCAAATACTCTTAACTTAATAAAATCTCCCACATCCCCACACTGGATAGTAAAACGTCCAATGTGCTCCACAGTAGACTGGTCCCCTGTCCCAGTGAATGTGGCAAACTCGGGCACCCTAAACCCCCTTGGGAATGGGTAGAGTCTATCCACCCACTCAGGGTATGGTTTTCGATAAACAGGTGGCATGGTGGGTCTCACTCCCATGCCAAATTGCTCGGCAAGAATTTGAGCCACCTGATCCCTTAGAGTGTTGGGATCATGCCCCCCTGGTTGCCCCCCTTGGGGTACGAAACCCATGGGGTCCATGCCATGCCCATTGAAATGTGGTGGCATGGGTGTTGGGTATGCTCTCGGAGGAACTTGATCCCCCCCACCTAACCCTACTCTCCCTTCCATGTGAGCAGGCACCGTATAGGGCCTTGCCATTGGTATGGGTATGGGTGGCGGTTCCACTGGAGCAGAATGTGTAACTCCCAAATTCTCACCACGTGGGGGAATTTCTCCAACTCCCACATTGGGTATCCCTTCCACTTGAGTAGTGGAAGGAATCTCGCCGCGATTCATGCGGTGAGGAGTTGGTTGGTTTGTCATCGGCGGAAAGAGGTTATCTTGCCGTGGCTGACCATTTCCGCCGCCGGCGGGAGATGAACTTAAATTTCCGGAATTGCTATTGGGGTTTGAATTCCCGCCATCTAATGGCAGAGCTCTAGATTGGATTATTGGTGTGGTTAAAAATCTTCTAAACTCATCAAAATCACTTTTGTTCTTATTAACCACTTCAAATAATTGACTTAGACGTCTATCAACTCTAGAATTAAGACAGTCCATTTGAGAATTTACCTGATGAGAAGCAGCTCTAGCCTCCTCCATCATGCGGCGATTCTCCACCATCATTTGGCGGTTCTCCTCTGTGGCTTGACGGTTCTCTGCCACCAGTTTGCGGTTCTCCTCCATCATTTGACGAAGGACCCCCACTGCTTCACCAATATCTCCACTTGGCGTCGCCGTTGGTAGGATCTCCGCCCCACCATTGTTTCCGGCCACCGCCTCTGACACTTGGCCATGTTCAATGTTGGCCACCTGCTCCTCTACAAAACCAGCCGGAGCGTCACCTTCTTGATTCCTCCGCCTCGGAGCCATCAAATCGAACACACGGGTCCCACCAGGTGTGCCAATTTGTTTTCCCGGCGAGAAAAATAAAGGAAAGAGAATTGGATTTTTCACCTTTGACTTCCAAACAAACGATTGAACAACACGGTTCACACCTCTTTGAACAAAGTTCAAACAAGGGTGCTCAATGTTCTTGATGAACTACGAGACAAACTAAATTACATTAAATCTACCCTTATGGAGGTTCAGTGAGAGCTCCAGATCTACAACTATGGCTATGACTACATTTGCAGAGGAAAGGTAAAGATAAAAGGATAAAATTCGACAATAGGTTGTCTGGTGTGATTTTTGCGACCCTTTTCTCTGTCATCTTCACCTCCTATTTATAGCCACCAGAAGTAACTCCCCCAAGAAACTGCTCTGCTGACGTGGAGTGACGGTTACCCACTCAACTGCTATGACGGTTACCCTGATGTTGGATGTGGGATCCTCTTTAGTCTTGACTTCCTCCTCTTGAGACCTCAACCTCTGCTCTTGGCATCTCCTTCGTAGTTTTGCTTATCCATAGAGTAAAAATGGCTAAGGCATGAAAGCAGACCACATGCCACATATGGGTGGGTACTCGAACCACCTGAGTCCAAATGGCAAAAATACTTCACCATTACGAGAGTAGGGAGACCACGTGCTCAGGTGACCCCCCTTGACCACCTCATGAGGGTGGTGTCTTGGTAGCCCACCTGGCAACCTCATGGGGCGATGTTGACCACGCCCCTTGGCCTTACCATGGGGGTGTATGTTGGTGACCCCCTGACCATGCCACAGGGGGTGGATATTAATCACCGCCATGATCATATCATGGGGATTGCACGCTAATGGCGGGGTGTGTTGATGGCCACCCCCTGATCATCTCATGGGGGGTTCTCCTTGCCATCCTTGGTGATCACCCTCGTGTCATATCATGGTGCCTCCTTGCCTCACCATACTTAGTCGTATTTCACACCGCATGGGGGTGGTGATCCCACGCTACTCCATGAACACTCCATGGGGGTGGTAATATGACCCCCTCACTACGTCCTGGGGGTGACAATATGATGCCCACCCCCTTCCATCACCCCCTCACCATGTCATGGGGGTGGCGGCATGATGCCCACCCCCCTTGCCACGTCCTGGGGGTGGTATGATGGTGGCCACCCCCCTTGGTACCTCCTGGGGGTGGAGATATGATCACCCCCCTCACCATGTCATGGGGGTGGCGGTATGATGTCCACCCCCCTTGCCACGTCCTAGGGGTGGTATGATGGTGGCCACCCCCCTCGGCACCTCCTGGGGGTGGTGGTATGATGCCCACCCCCCTTACCATGTCCTATGGGTGGTATGATGGTGGCCACCCCCCTTGGTACCTCTTGGGGGTGGCTACCATACTCCTTGCCTTAGCCAAATTCGGCAAGCAATCACCCCCATCACGGGTGGGTGTATGATGTCCACCCCCTTGCCACGTCCTGGGGGTGGTGGTATGATGCCCACCCCCCTCTACGTGTCATGAGGGTGGCTCCCATACTTAGCCAAATTTGAGGATGCATGGCACGCGTGGTGGCACGGAGTAATGGGCCCAAAAACCAAATCCGCATGGCCCACTCAACTGATTTAAACTGATATGATTAAGTTGGCCTTATAAAGCCATTTAATTCCTTGTTTTTAACCGATGTGGTACAAGGTTAATTTTTGGTGTAAACAATAATAAAACCCCCAACATAATCGAAACTGAAATACCAAATTTTCTTCGTTCGTTTTCCATCTTTCCAAAAGTTCCCCTATTCAGCCGCCCGCAATGCTTTTGAATTGATTCTTCAAAACAAAATTTGGTATCTCGTGGATGCCCCATGTTGAAATTATTGCCGAATAATAAAAAGCTAAAATAGTAAAAATTCGATCAAGCAAGCAAAATGGAATCATCGAAAAAAGATTTTAATAATAGCTCATCATTACCACATTACGTACGTATCTCAGCTCTCTTCCAGGGGGAATATTCTGCCAGATTGCATTCCAGTCCACCGTGAGATTTCCTCAACGTTTCGACCTCTCGATCGTCCCCTGATCAGTATAAGTTGATCGATCAGCCAAAAACGAACACCATCCCTATATTTTCCATCAACTTTCAAATCAGACACACACAGAATCACACAAAAAAAAAATGGTATTGTTGGCCGGGATCTTCGCTTCTACAGTCACATTCACAACAGTAATACTGCTGTGCCAGCTGAATCAGCTAGTTGTTCAACCATGTGGCGCTGATATTGTGATCCCCGGCGGCACAATCTGCGGCACCGATCACGACGACGGAACCTATGTCGGGTGCGACGCGGGTCGCTGCTGTAGCAACTATGGCTACTGCGGCGACGACCGCGTCCACTGTGTCACGGACTGTTGGAAGCAATGTCGCGACGTTGATGGAGTTGATGGACAGCCGCTCTATAATATTAATATCACCACCACGAACGTAGTTAATGCAACGCACAACGAATACTACGATGTCTCGACGACGACGATCGACGGCGGCTGGTGGGACGGTTCGTTGTCGTCGTCATCATGTGCAACTTCACTCTCCGGCTTACCGCGGGGGCAACGTGACAAGTATGCTTTGGCTGCTTTCCGTCCACCTCGTAATCGTACTTATTGTGGACGGTGCCTCAAGGTAAAGTAGTAAACTGAAAGTAGTTAAATTGATCGCCGTGTATTAGCTAACTCATTAACATTAGGGTTAAAATATTTTCGTATGGCCTGAACTTTGACTAAAATAGACATCCTGGCCGCGATCTTTTCGATCTATGACATCCTGGCGGCCCGAACTATACACACCAAAATAAACAATTTGGCCAGATCCGACTTTTGACCGTCGTTAACTTGGACGGTGAAACGCGTTGACCGTTAGTCAACGCGCCATGTCACTGCCAAGTCGGCATAAAGTATTTAAAATAATTCACAATTTCCACACATTCCCTAGTTTTAAATTAAAAAAAAATCATCTGATACTTGGTTAAACCAAAAAATAAAAAACGAAAAAATTAAATATTTATCAGATCTTCCGACTTGGCGCGCAGTGACGTGGCCCGTCCAAGTTAACGGTCAAACATCGGGTTTGGCCAAATTATTTATTTTGGTGTATAGTTCGGGCCAGGATGTTATAGATCGAAAAGATTGGTCAGAATGTTTATTTTTTATCAAAGTTCACCCGATACGAAAATATTAACCCTTAACATTAATATTTGGTTCAGTTAAGCATATCCATGGATATATGTGTGTGTACATGTAGTTGACAAATTTCAAGACTGGAGTTGAAGCGAAGGTGCGAGTTGTTCACGAACGTAATAATGTCGAAGGACTTGAATTGGACCGTGACACTTTCAACAAGCTGCGTAGCTATGGCGCAGGAAGTGCTGGAGATGACTATCATGATCATCATCACCTTGTCTTGAAGTACCAGTTCGAAAATTGCCAAGACTGAACAAAAGAATGACGACAGCTGGAGGCGATTGAGGCACGAATTCCACCTCAAGCAAAAAATATTGCACACCACTTATCACAACTTTCCCCTTTTTTTTCTTTTATTACATGTTATACGTTGCAATCCATCTTTTTTTTTTAAACCCAACCCATGAGTATCCGACTTAATTCGACCCGCGGACAAAGCGAGTTGAATCCGATGTCGACGAGTTTTGAGTGGGAAGCAAGTTTAAAACGCTCTTATAATTGAGAGGTTGGGGGTCGGGTGTGAACTTTGTTAACAACTCGCGGTCTGCTTTCCTTCTGACGACCCTACCTAAAAAGCAAAGCAATCGCGACCTTGTTAAAGCAGGTTGAATATTCCGGTGGTGACGAGTTCTGAATCTGAAGCTAGCGAGTTTTCCGGTTCTGTAATTGAAGGGTTGGGTCGGGTTTTTAATTTATTAACACTTCTCGGCTGGCTTTTCTTCTGACCCGCACCTAAAATACAAAACAATCGACCCGGTCAAAGGAGTTTGAATCCGGTGTAAACGAATTTTGGTTGAGGAGCGAATGGAACGTAACCTAGTGTTGACAAGTTTTTGGTGGGGAGCGAGTTGAGCTCGATGCTGAAGAGTTTTGAGTCGGAACCAAGTTTAAACGGTCTTATGATTATTGATGGGTTGGGCGGGTGTTAATTTTGTTAAAATTCAGTTCGCTTTCCATCCGACATCCACCTAAAAAGCAAAACAATCGACATTGTACGTCAAAGTGGTTGAATCAGGTGTTACCGAGTTTTAATTCACGAGCGTGTTTTACCCGGTTTTGTAATGGATGGGTTGGATCGGATATGGATTTTGTTAATAACTCGGTTGAGTTTCCATCCGGCCTACACCTAAAATACAAAACAATCAACATATTTGAAGCAGGTTGAATCCAATTTTGACGAATTTTGGTTCCTGAGCGAGTTCACTACAAGAAATTAAAACCTAGATATAGAGACAAAGTTTATTTGCATCTAAAAGTCCTTTATTTGTTTCTGTATATCTTTTGAAGCAAATAGATTATTTGCATTGGACGCTTCTGCTTCTAAATCATTTTAGAAGCAAATATAGATACAAATAATATTTGAGGAATTTGAGTCAAAATTTTTTTATTGCAATTCCACTTTAAAAAACTTATATTTTCTTTTCTTCAACAAATATTTTTCTCCTATTACTACATTCCGAGACAATTATACTTGTTTCTAAAAGACATTGAATACATATAAATATTTGTTTTGAAAGCAAAAACATTTTCTTTTCTTTTATTTCAATTTCCATAATTTCGATTCAATTTTAATTTTACCTTCGATATGAGAAGTTTCATTCATGTGAAATAAGAACGCTCTGAAAGTATCAAATTTCATTAATAACATTTTAATACATTTATTCTTAAAATACATCAATATATTGCTCATAAAGAACGTAAATACATTCGAGTACACATCTTACCCAATAATATATGGAGATTCTACGGCAACACTCACTTAAATCAAAATTTCCATGCCTCTCCGCAATGCCAGGAAGGACTGCTTGGTATTTTTACATTTTATTGTTACAAATATTCTTCATTTAACTGGGTGTTGCGGGCTTGGATCATGGGAATGAAAAATCAATTTACTGGCCCACTAACTAGGATTATTAATCTCCAGCCAACCGGAGCTGAGTTCTGGGCTCCAATAAATTAAAAAAGTGGAATGTATTTTCAGTTTGGAAGTTTTATGGTGGAAGGACAGATAAACTTATAAGACATACCGTATCAGATAAAAAAAATTTAATAATGAAAGAATATTGATTTATGAAAACATACTGATGGTTATACTTAAGAGTTACAGAAATAATATTTAGTAGTTTAACCAATAGTATACTGTGTACCTAATGTCGTTGTTGAATAAAATCATTATACTCATTGTGTGTTACACCTGTATAAGATTGGCCAAAAGCAACTAATATGTCGTAAGTTGTCAGTTTACTCGCATAAAACCACTTGACACAAAATATTTGTTTAATATGTAATCATGGATGGTTGTAGGTGGTTTTTACAATTCCATCGATGGATATGGCAAAATAAGATTATACATGGGAACAATCATAGATGAAACTGATGAGACACATAATATTCGCCTAAATTATAATTTGGCCATGACCCATGAATCACTTGGTTAGGGTTTAGGACAAAGGTCAAACACATTATTAATTATCAAGATTTATTGATTGAAGGTTCAGTAACTTTTAAAACCTTAACCAAGGGGATACACATAGGTTTTGAGGAGAAGGACTTGGGGAATTTGTACTTTGACAATTTGGCTTAAAAAAATTGACAATAGTCGTGAAGTAAACATCAAGAATGCTCAATTAAAACTTAGACCTGAGGTAAATAAATGTTAACAAAGAGATAACTTTTCTTTGTTGAGAAACAGGAACTTACAACCTCGGGCCAAAAACCAAGTTTTCAAACTGCAAGGCATATCATAATACGTGGTTAAGGTACGTAGTATATTAATGGTTGGGAATCCTTAGCTAAATCACAAAATTATAGCATGAGAATTATATGTTATTGATAGAGCATTTCGAGTAAAATCATGAATGTCAGGTAATGATTAAATCCTTTATCTAACTCTTATATGAATCATTCAAACATTATTACTCTCATATTGTTAAAAAATATTTTAAATGTTCTTTGTTTGCTAACTATAATTGTTAACATTTGAAAAAAACAAAAATATTAGTTTTTATCAAATGACGAGTTTACCTATAACTAAATGAGTAGAGTGACTCAAGAAATACCGAGAAATTAATTATGAGGCTATTTAGTAGAATAAATTAAATAGAAGGGATAAAGTATGAGGAAAAAATCATATCTCTCTAATTATGAGAGATTTGATATCTCTAGATTTAATAATTTTGAAATCACTCAAATTAAAGTTCACAATAGAAAAAGAATTTTTGTCAAATCTATGAATTCAATGAATCCATCATCCAATTTTTTCCCCCAAACGAGCTCTAAGTCGTCTCTCCTGTGTTGTCCTCTATCTTATTTCTTTGTCCTATAACTCATAACATGTTAATTTTTTTTCGTAGATCTTCTTCACCTTTGTGAAGTTAATAAAATTATTACTATGTATTTTTGTAATTCTCAAAATTTTCCCCAATAATACTTCTCAATTTCATGAATTAGTGTGTATTAATTTGCACGAAACATGTTTATTAAGGATATAGATTGGTCGTGGAATTAGTATCATTAATCATAAAATAATAATTCATTTTTCTAATGCTCATGCTTAGAGAAATGGAACTTTGAGGTTGTCTACATATTCCACCACAATATAGTTCGGCCAACGGGCTATATATTTCATCACATAGGAAGGCATTCAATGAAATGGTCAAATTACAATCCACAAGATATAATGAAGTAATTCAATAGATCATATCCAAAATTGAATTAAAAGTAGAGGAAGGCATTTGATGAAATTGTTCAGGGTATGGAAGAAGAAAATGGGAATGGAAACTTTTTTGATCGATTTGGGGATATATGGAAGACGTTTCTTTGGAAGGTTGTTTGTTTCAAAGTACGGGCACAAAAGAAAATAGTTTGTGCATTGCTTCTTCTCCTAGCTTTGCCAATCGTTGGCGGCAGAAATGCTCATTCTCGGTTTCATATTCCAATGGATTGTGATGCTTCTCTTATTATTTGGAATGAACCTCCTATGACTCATAAGCATAATATTGAAGCAATGGATTGAATTCATAGACATTTTGCATGTGAATTATCCAAACAGCGGGGATATGAAGTTTGAGGAATGTATGTTGTGTTCGGTGAAGATTTTTGACAAACCTTACAAGTAATGATTAAGCGAATCGAGCAGATATTGTCAATTCTTTTACCAAGAGACAAGAGGTCATATTTATGTGGTCTTCAAAATATGAGATTGTGGGGGGGGGGGGGAATTTTGGTCCTGAAGAACCTATTCAGATTGAATAATTTAGCAAATGAATTTTGCATAGAGGTGACAGAGTGGTCTGCAATGTTTTGGAAAGATGAACTTTTATTCCAAAACCGAAACAAGGGTAGCAAACAAGTTTAAAATAGTGGTGCGATCAGGTTTGCTATAGTAACCCATTCCATTGGTAAACAATCATCACGAGCACTCTGTGCCACCCAATTAGCAAGGCCATAAAAATGTCTTGGAGTGAACTCCACTATTATCTAGGGTGCAGACTAGAGAATCTCGGTGACCCGGGCTAACGTTGTCCTGCACTGCCATGGCCAGAGATCTAAAGGCTTCTTCAAAGCCAGTGTCATGATCTTCAAAGCTATTCAAATTAAAGAATTCATAAAATGAATTTTGCATAGAGGTGATGGGAGTGGCTTACAATAGTTTTTGGGAGTCAATGATCTCTTCCAACTTCATTGAGCATTCCACGTGGAAGAGATAGAAATGTTGATATTGTGAATCATATGTATGGTAATCTCCTTGAATTATAGTCAAGGAAATTATTGGGTTCATCTTGCTATATTAACTCCGCAATGATGCTATTGACAATAAATAATTAGGTGATGGAAAAATTTATAGGACATGAAGTTTGTTCTCATAGTTCATATTTGATTTTTTTTTAGTATTCGAATAACTTTGAATTTCTTATACTACCGAACAAACACGTATCTTGCATATTGATTGCTATTTTTGTATACTCATTTCTCGAAATGAATCCGGCCAACTGGCCTGGTCTGTGACTAGTATATAATACATTTATTCTATGATATTTACTAAGCTAATCCTCCATCCCACACTGGTGACACCACCACTGACAGACCACGATCAAGATCTTCTCCAAAATGTTGTTCTTCTCTTCCTCCTTTCTTCTTTACTGTCGATGCTTGTTAAGAAATAAATAGCGCCTAATGGTATAAGGGTCCAGTGGGGAGTGGGCCGGTATACCGTACGCTTCTTGTAGACCACGCGGATCACCGTCCTCATAC